TTCTCCTCGAAACCTGTTTCAGGACTACAATCTCTTTTTCTTTGTACCGCAAAGGATCATCTCTCACTCTTCTCAAAATCTCATCCCTTATGGATCTTTTGACAAATCTAACATGTACCTCACTGGGGACTTTATTTCTTCTTGCATAGCTTGAATTGACTCGAAATATTTGATCTCTCCTTCCATTTCCTGTTTCCAGTGCTTCAGCCAATAGCTCCGTTATCAGATCCGCGAGTTCCTCTTCTTTGTCCTCTATTATGTTTTGAAATCTTAGGAAATAAGATGCCTTTTCCATTTCCATAACTGCAATTGAGTCTTCCATTTCTCTATTAATCTGCATCAGCTTTTGGTTCTCGTCTTTCAATTCTGCCAATTTTTGATCAGTCTCTAGTGTCTTATCTTCTACTTTTTGAATTCTTTGTTCATTTTTTGTGACCATGTTTAAAGTTTTCTAGTTGAGCGTCTATGTTGTTAATTTTTTGGTTCATTTTATCAAGGTTGTCTTTTGTCTCATGGTTTTTCCTTGTATCATCCTTGTGAGAGGAAATTGCTTCTTGAATCGCTTGTAATGTCGCTTGCATCTCCTTCTGGAAATTGCTAGGTTTTTCTTGTTGGAGCATTGTTTCAATTGATCTCTGATACACCGGGCTTGCTGAGGCGGAGAATGGGGCTGAAGGTGCTTTCTTACCGGTTTTACTTAGATTCGGAACACTCATTTTATTTCTACCCAAACTCCTGTTTCAAACTCTTAAGGCTTTCCCCTCACACCCGCCTTCAAACAAGCCATTAACACTATATTCAACACAATATATCTTTCAAGATTATCTTAAAAAATTCTTATAGTCCTTATCTATAGTCTCTAGGTCCGTAAGTTCTCTCAGGAAAAAGGTAAACAAACTATTGTGTTCCTGAAGTACCACCAAGCCATTTTGGGTCAAATACAGCTCGGGAAAACCCAAACCTGGAATGTTTGGTTATTCTGGGATTCAGACAAAATTAATCCCAGACAGGACAAGTAAGATAAGGCTGGCATATGTTTCCCCCCTCTCCAGCTCAACTGCTCTTTCCTTCTCTAGTTCTCAGAGTAGCACATTCCACCAGCCTTCCCATTTTCCCAGTACCTTCCCAAACCTCTCTTGCTAATGTCTCACTATAGTACATTCCATGGCCCACCAACTTTCCCAGGTGAGTCTATTCTCTCCCTCCCTTCAGACATTGCCATCAATGTGCCAGCATAGTATATCCCACCAATTTGCCTCTGTCACAACCATTGCAGAGTATGCCCTTCCACCACTTAACTGACAGTGTCCTTTCCTTTTTCACCATTCCTCACACAAACACTTTAAACTGTATAGACCTATCTTGTTCTGTAAATGGACCAAAATATATGAAATGCGCACAAGGATCACCCAAGCCCAGCTACTTTTATATAGAATGATTCATAAATGGGACACTTTGTATATTACAGTCTATAAAATAAAATATAAAAAAATATTTAAAAAATTAAAATATTACAGAAAATAAAAATATACAAAATGTATATTTGTATATTATAGTGCACATCCATCCATTATACATATGCTGCAAAAAGCAGGCTAGTTAGAAGATTTTAATTGTGTCAATTCTGCAAAGTCATCTAATATTGCTATACCTGGGCAGGTGAGAATAATGCTAACACTGTGGAGTAGCTCATCATCTAATTTCTTGGATAGATTTTTATTTAGTGGTGTGTAGATTACAGGTAGTCCTCCACTTACAACCACAACTAGGCCTGAAATCTCGGTTGTTGAACAAAGTGGTCATTAAGTAAGATACCACGACTGGTTCACTCAGTGACCGCAATCCTGGCTTTTCCAGCTGTCATTAAACAACCGCGTGGGTCATTAAGCAGACTGCTGGGGTGAGGACAAAAGTGAAGCCTGTGATCAGGAGATATCTCAGTCAGCAATAGGAAGCCTGTTATAACTGTCACAGTGGTCCAGACCATACATAGCTTGTGCAGTAAGCATCTTAAGTTGCCTTACTGCCACACCAACGCAGTTGCATTGAATGGGTGTGAAGAGAATTCTCAGGTATTTGAAGGGAACTGTGAATTTGGGTCTTCAAATACAGGTCTCTGAAGAGTTAAAGTTAAAATGTTATGTTGACAGTGATTGTGCCAATGATGTGCAAACCAGAAAGTCCAATTCTGGGTTTGTGGTATTATTTGGAGGGACTTTAATTGGGTGGAAGTCCAGAAAACAAACAACTGTAGCTATTTCTACTGCGGAGGCAGAATTTATTGCTGTCGGTAACCTGGTATGTACAGCTGTTAAAGGATTTAAACATAGAAGTTATTGCTTCATTGTTCTTCAGATGACAATCTGGCAGATGTAATGAGCAAGCCATTGGGTGGAGTACACCATGAGAAAAGTATTAAGTTATTTGGTTTTATGTCTATTCCAGTCATAAAGGGAGGAGTGTCACTGTGTAAGAAATATTATGAACTGGAATAGCCATAGCAACAAACCAGCCAATGAGAAGTGTTTTTCATTAAGACACAGTATTGGCTGTGTGAGGCATGTGATCCAGCCTAGGTCTGGGCGTGTCTTAGTCTTCTCTGTTGTTTTTTCTGATCTCCAAGTTAAGAGTTGTTGATGTTCCCCAGAGCTGAATGAAACTGTATGTATCATGTTTATATATATTTTATGGATAAAGTTTTTCTAAACTATGCCTCCTGCTCATTTTGAATGTGTGCTTATTTTTTGGACTTATTTTTGCGCTGGAAAGCTGTAAACTCTAACACTAACTGTATACAGGGAGAATGAAATTGATTACAGTAAGTAAAATACAGTATTATTAATCACCTATTCTCATGGCCTCAAGCCTTTTTTAAAATTAAATGTACAACTAAGCACATCTGCAGTGTCAGGATGAAACATGAAGTTCTGAAAGCATCTGTGTTATATAAAATACAAGTAATGCAAAAAAAAAAGGATTTATTAAAAAGGAGTGAATGAACAAAACAAAAGGATGCTCCAGATCATGGCCAAGTACAGTTGCAAGAAAAAGTATGTGAACCCCTTGGGATAACGCAGAGTTTTGCATGAATTGGTCATAAAATGTGCTCTGAACGTCATCTAAGTCACAATAGAAAAACACAGTCTGCTGAAAATAATAATGCACAAACATTACATGTTGCCATGGTTTAATTGAACATAACATGTAAACATTCACAGAGCAGGGAGGAAAAAGTATGTGAGCCCCTAGCCTAATGACGTCTCCAAGAGCTAA